TTTCTACGATCAATACCCGGCGAATGCCGGAGCAGTATCCTAGCAAAGGGCTGCCGACCGCAGGCGATTTTCCCTTCGCGCTTCTTGTCCTATCTTCACCCCTAACACACAAACACACACACACACACACACACACTTATATGCACTACACTACCACATTTGCCGTGTGACCGGTTGAAAGATTACAGCTTGTCCTGGCTGGAGTGGCGCCCCGTTGGTGGGAAACCTCTAGCCGACGTGTAGGTCGACGCCGGATCTCACCATGCAGCGGGTGAAGATCACCGCCACCTCACGAGGAAAATTACATGCACTACACTTATGGGTCTAATTACATTAGCAGTTGACACGCCCGGAATCACTAATCAATTATAGTTGCAGGTGGCTGTCAAACATTGGTACCTTTCGGAAGACTTCTACGACATAGGGATACAAATATTGATTTCACGCTATGACAAATGCCTTAATTCTGTGGGAAAAGTGCAAAATGAGTTGTACATGCTACAGTAAAATTATTCTCTGATATTGTGTTCTTTCTCTAAACGACATGGGGGAAATTAATTTTCTGGATGCGCCTCGTATACTGCCATTCAATATTTTATTTTATGGGAACGAAAATGCACATTTGGAAATCGATTGGAAGTCTTAACGCTGAAGTTTTCTTATTAATGCATTCGGATTCATTTGCATTATACCTCCCCATAATACTCGTCGTGAGCTTGGCCACGCGTGGCGGAGGCGTGAACTCTGCCTTAAATGTTTGAAGTTATAAAAGACGACTCATTTCCTCTCGCGGGACGGAGATGTCATGTGACATGTTCACGCGGATGTTCGTAGATACCTTTACAAGTAGTAGGGCAAGGGATATGTGCCATCCATTTTTCCAATTTCAATTAATATAGGACTTTTTAGGCTTTAGAGTACAAATGAGGTACATAGTTTTAGGTGGAATATAATTTTGTATGGTATTTGTTGGAATATGAAGGAGAAAAACACGTTAGTAATAGAAGAGGTTTAAAACGGTAAGAATTCGTACCTTCGTTTGATTTTAAAGCAAAGCCGAAGGATCGTTACCAACCGTTACATGATTTTATTTGGGACAAAGCAGTTCGGGGTAATTTTTCGAGGTCTCGTCCACGCTCACTCCCGCGTCGAGCATCTTTCGCCCTTCCTGCACAATAGACCAACTTCGTTTGGGTAATAGGAGGGGGATAGGCGGCCATTGCCACAGAGAAGAGATTGTAGAGAGAGGAAGGAAGGTGCCTAAATAAATAGTCTACCTTCTAAGTAGTATTATGCTCGGTCCCGGCTTACTCCGGCTGGCCCCGCCCCGCCCATCCCCGCGCCGCCCGCCTTACCACATCACTCTACTCCGGTTCTGCCCGTCGCACCTGTGCAAGTGGGCTATCTGGACCGCCGAAGAGCGCGGGGGCGGGGTGGGTCCGCGGCGGAGGAGGAGGAGGCGGCCGCCACCGCTGCGGCAGGCGACGGTGGAAGCAGCCGCGTGCGTCACAGGCCATCGCGAACCATCGTAAAGCGGTTCTAGTGCTTACGTAAGATGCCGCCGCCGCCGCCGCCGCCGTCACCGTTGCCACCGCCACTGCCGCCGGCGCTCCCACGGTCGAGTGCGGCGAGGCGCTCTCGAGAACGCGTCCCCTTGCCATGAGGGCGTTCGCGGGCGTCGCCGCCGCCGCTCCGCACAATGGTTTGAAAGTCGCAAAACAGCGGACAAAATTATTTTTCGAAACGGCAATTCCCATTGTTGAGATACACGTGAACAATATGTTCTGTGTTTTGAGTTCTGTGAACGATTTTGTTACTTTTTCTCCATTATTGTGTAGAAGGCCCGCAAACATGAGAAATTTTTATAATACTGGTGGTCATAAATCGTTCAGATTTCATGAACCATAATCCTAAGTAATTCTTAATGTTTTAAAATAGTATTTTTCATTACTCCTAATCGCTGTCAAACCGTATTTATACAAAATCATTTATCTACTTTTTTGTACTTTTTCTATTTTTTGTAATTATGTATTTGTGTACTTAATACTTTATGCACTTTTATTTGTTATAAATATTTGTTAGCAATGTTATGACAACACATTTGACAGATCTTGTCTTACAAAAAGAAGTAAGGGATAGGTTGGTGAATATATAATTTCGAAGTCCAATTTTCAATTTCCAAGTAACATTTAATGTAGAGTTTTCGGTGAGGAAATTCAGGGGAAACGATCGCAGTCCGAGGCCTCTTGTTTGATATACTGCATTGGCATTCGCCTGGAATTGATATGAGACCACGGAGACGAGTCAGAATAGTCGACACTAGAATTCTCACCGGGGCTGTGGTCGGTTTCGACGATGCTTTTTGGCCAGTGTTTGGAGGAAGGTTCTAGCGGCCGGCTGCTCTGATCGGCAGTTTTACGTTTTTACTCCGAATACAATCTGATGAATGCCGTAGTAGTACCTGAGTAAACGGCCCGCGGCCCGCACACGATCTTTCCTTCCTTGCCCTTGTCTTATTCACACACTACCGCACATGTCGGGAGTTAAGGCCTTGTCCCGGCTGGGGCGGTGCCCGCAGGTCGGAGATATTTGGATGGCGAAAACTTTGCATGTCGACGTGTAGGTCGGCAGAGCATCGGACATGTGGGTCGGGTCTCACCATTCAGCGGGGGAAGATCACAGTCATTTACCCTGATAAAAACATTCATTATACTTGCCGCTCTAAAGACAATAACAGTCGACGCGCACAGAAACATTAAATAAACAATCGATCAATCAAGCGATTAACCGAGGACATTCTGGTCCAAGAAGTAACATTTGCTGACTTCATGGTATTGGAAAAAGTTGTTCTATATTCTTTATTGTAGGCACAACACATATGACTGATTATAATATCGCCAATAACGATTTCAATGACTTTGGTCTAGGTCACATAGTCAATCACAAAGACTCCTATCTCGATCAAGTTTTTCGTCCAGTTTCCCTGAACCATTTAACAAATGCTGAGATGACTCCTTGTTTTGCTATGCATTTTGCTCCTAGTTTCACTATACGCAAGTTTTGTTTCGCTCTCCTTTTGATTGTAGTGGTAGGAGTGGAGCCGGTGGTTTGGGGTTGCTATTCGTTGGCAATACAAAAAATGGTCTGTAATTCGTTTGCCGATGCAAATAATTACTGGGTGTTTCTGGAGAGCGAAAATATCTAGTTTTCAAATGTTTTTATCCACGTCTTGTTGGTACTTCAATTTATAATGCAATACATCTTTAATTTATAATGCAACTACATCCTACTAACGCAACTGTATGTACAATAAAAATATGGGGAAAGGATTCTAGAACTCAATAAAATGTGCGAAGATGTTATTTCTTCCCCATACATCACATACTGTTTTTGACAAAATAAATCAAATCTGTCAAATCCATCTTTAATATACTCTGAATGTGCAACTGGCACCTCAAATGGAATGATGATTAATGAAACGAAGCAACGGTAGAATAAGAGGCAGTACGCAGTAGGCAAAACGGGAGTACCCTGAGACTTTTCTCTGGGATTTATTGTTCATTTACTCACTGTAAGGATGGTCAAGGGCCGTCCTCTTGGTTGTAGATATTTTTGCCCGTTTTTTTCCCCACTTCGGACCATAGTACTACGCCGTCGTCTCCGCTGCCGCCCCGCCGCGGGCCCGCCGGGGCTTGTGTAATCTACCCGATGCAGTGCTGCTGCCGCCGCCGCCGTTGAGCCAGGAACGCGGCCGGCTCCAGGGTCTGCAGGGCGACTTTCCTCGCCATTGTTGCGTTGCAGCTCGTGGCATGATTGATTCCTAGCCGCTCGTACCACTAGGCGGCCACTGAACTGACGCGAGATTTTAGCAACTGAAAGGTTATCCCCGAGTGTTATCCCCTTTACTGGCCAGGCGGTTTAAAAAACGTGTTGTCAGGAATTTAAAAAAAAATGAAATGAAGCAATTTTTATAAAATTTTAATTCATAGTAAAAATGATATAGAGCTATAGTGCGCAGTTTATTTGATAAAAGGTTGAAAGTTTGGGAAACTGTAGAGAATATACAAAGATACAATTTGTATTAGGCATTTTTACGACACGAGTTATTCTTTAAAAAAAAAAGTAAGGTAAAAGTTATAATTTTCTATTATTCCTTTCCTTTTTTGTTGATTCAATTTTGTTGGATCACAATTTGGGCATAAAAGCCTGAAAAACTTCCATCTTTATCACCTATAAAAAATCATTAAGATAATTGAAGTCGGTATTTATAGACTAATGTGGATTAAAAAAGCTAAACTTATATAAAAAGCTAATAAAAAGTTATTTTTTCCAATTTTACGAAGTACTTCGGGTATTTGATTAAAATACGGCGAAAACTTGTTTTTTTAAACTTCAAGTACGATTTTCAACATTTTTTTTAATCCGCGCGGCGAGTTTTGCTTATCTTAAACCGGAACTCTTTTTAAGGATAAATTCTCATATGTCGTATTAGTAGTGTACTTCGTAACTAGTCATTATTTATTGTAGTATTTTAAATTAAGGGGCAGCTCTGAAGAGATTGGATACAAACAACATGAAGTAAACCGGTAATGAGGTTTCGCTGGCCCCCGAAATTTATTGCGCACGACTATGGATTGACTCTTGTCACCTTACATCTAGCTGTAAATTATATCTGATGTGTTTTGGGTCTGCATTTTGCGTTTACAATGACAATTTGAACCTCCTGTTTACATTAACGCATATTAACTCTAGCATCCTTCCCATAACAGTATTTCTTTCTTTCTGAGAATAATATAAATAATACGGTCATTGTACTTTAGTAGGATTAAAAATACATTAATAGGGCAATACATTATGTAGGATTTTTATTGTATGGCATGAGTTTCGGAAAGACAGCCCAATTGCTGTAGTTCCGAGAGCCTGGAATCTCAAAAATCGGTGACGTCGGGTTTGTGCGGTAAGGCATTTCTGTTGAGATTTAGTATTGATTAGTGTTGAGGATGATATGCAGTAATGAGCAAGAATGCGACGATGGCAGTAGAAGAAGAGGCAAGAAAATGAGAGAACCTACTTCGTCCGACACTAATTCCACTTGCATCGGCCGGGGATCGAACCCCTGGGCCAACAGGGGGAAGGTGAGAACTCTCACCGCTACACTGCGATTCATTCTTAATATGCGATTTACATTTGCCGAATCTTAGCTTACCCTCTCGGGTGCTCGTTAATTAGCGGAGGCAAATTATAACCGTGCACTTTCCTTACGAATGTCCCAGTATCTATTGTTGTGTGACGATGAGAAAGCTCACTGTAAGGTAAAGAAGACCAATATGTAAGGTAAAGGGATGACTTCGTGCTAACGTACCCCTTATCCTATGGCCGGGAGGCTGGGTCGCCGCTGGTCGGCTAATGCCCTTATCGGGCCGTCGAGTCAAGAACAGGACAGGACAGAAATATTAGCTTAGGTGTTTTACGCGCCACAAGCACGACCTGGCCACTGAGAATTTTCTGCTTTTCGAGTATAGGCGGACCTTGACCGGAATAGTATCCACGTTCTGGGCGACAGAGCCAACCGTTTAGACAGCGGTCCGCAATTCTGGAAACCTTGCTCTTAGGCGTTTGGTGACCTTACGAAGTGTTCCATGTTGATAAAGTGATTTCTTTTTGTTGTATGTTCTATGAGGACTGAGAAGTTTTTCCATGGTGTACAATATTTAACTTGTGAAAATAAAAATACAATAAAAAATCAACTATTCAGTCCAACGTTGTAACGCCACAATAGGTAATTTCTTTTGCGTAGATCAAGTACTGTCAGTGTTCTTTTATTTCATGCTTGAGCTTTGTGAAAAGGCATAAGGCACTATGGCTGGCAGATAACATTCGTGATAGATTATTGCAAATAATAAACACAGTATATTTTGCACTTTTTATGTGTTAGGTCTTTTGTTGTTTTTATGTGAAGTTTAATTACTATTTGAATTCCAGAATAATTGTTTATTAAAATCCACTTTGAATTGAATTAGTAATGGTATTGAAATCCTGAAACAATATTCTTTAATTTTTTATGTGTTAATGTATAATATTTTGTTAGAGAAATGCGTTTTCTTTTAATGTTTCGGTAATGAATTGTAAATTTTCAAAAAAATGTTCATTTTTACCGAGTTGTTTTGTAATGGCTAGAATGACTTAATACATATTTACCTAATTAACTACAGAACCCATTGAGATGGATCATCCCCAACGATCGTGATTATGCTTGTGCATTGCGAAGATTTGACCTTCATCAAGACACAAACATAACAATTGGTCGTAAAGTGCGTGGAGCAAGTTTTCGTAATACTACGCGCGTGAAAGACAAAGAAATTCCAGTCCGCATTATCGTGATTTTGTTCGAAACATTTGACTCAATCGTCTAAATTGTTTTGTTTTGCATGTGTAAGAAATCTGAAACATTTCTTCAAGTGTAATCATACTCTGGAAGTTCCATTGTCCCGATTGACTTTTGCAGATATTGCTCACTTGTTTGAGATTCCTTTCTCGTAGAGCAGTGGTGGTCCGTGAGGAGAGTCCTTATTAAAACGTATTTGCTTCGGTACTCACATAAGGTAAACTGGCGGGATTATCTATTACAGTTGTATTAACATGACTGTTCAAAAAACGAGTGAAAAATTCGAAAAATTGGTTTCTGCATCTTTCGAGATCTTGCAATGTATTGCATTGCCTAAAAAACCTCGTATGATCGGGGTTAATTATACGATTCATTTTGAACGTTGGGCAAAGCAGCTGCGAGACAAATTCCCAGATATATCAATATCAAACAACACTGTGAAGACCAGAATTAGGGAAATGTCCATGGATATTGAATAGATGTTTGACCGATGTAGAAGTCTCCCAATTTTGCTTTCCACTGTGATATGAGTATAGACGTTTCAAATAGTTTCCAATTACTGGCATTTGCGTGATTTTTATGTGAAGACAACATGATCCAAGAAAACTTGCTTGTGTCGCTTGAACTCGAAGCTAACGCAAAAGGAATACGTGTCACGATGTAAAAGTCATTTCCGATACTTTTAAGAAGCATGAACTCAGACATATTCTGCTTGATTTTGTATTAGGATGCTCACAAATTGCTGGGATCACATTCGGGCTTGGTCATATTGGTGTAAGTAAATGATCTCGCTGTTATAACAATTCATTGCGTCAATCTCTGTCAAAAACATAATTTGCTGGTTTATGCATTGCATTAAAATTTACTATTAAGATTATGAATTTTGTTAGGATTAATGCACTGAGTGCACATAATGGAATTTGGCGCAATTGGGAGCCATTGCAACCGAATTTAGTGTCTTGCAAAATAGAGGTTTGATATGCTCCTATTTAGTTTCTGTATATACTGTAGTGCGTTTCTAGCAGTAAAGCGAGGTCAGTAGTGAGTGAATTATCATTGGCTTAGCTATTACTCATTTAGTTTATTGCATTAATTCATTACATGAAAGAAGTACACATGTTTTCTCTTCAACGAACTAGACACAACTATGTTCTCGACTGTGAGATATGAAGAGCGAGGTCAAGGGAACTGAGCCGATCAAAAGGTTGAAAAACTCTGATCTAAGGAATGTAAACATAGTGTGTCATATTTAGTGCGGCAACAAACGTCCTGGAGTACAAATAACCCGAGTAAATATATCATTCTTGCAAGACACTTAACTCAGAAACCGGACACTTCGAGTCCATGTTGATCCATCCTACTTTTCGTCCCCTCATATGAGTAATCCTCTACTGAACCTTGCCCCCTTTTTGTGATACCCTCTGTGATGAATATTATTTAACTCTGACTAACAGCATAAAAGCACAATCTACGAAGCAAAGCATGTCATCCACGTGATCGACCTTCGTATGTGATCTCACTTTCCTGCAAGTAGAGAGCGAATCTAACATATAATTCTGTTTAAACACGGAAAAGGGCTACTGATTGTGTAATTGATAAGATAAGTGTTCAAGAATGGCTATTTATCATGTACAGATGATGTGCAGAATCCAAAAGTGGAGTCATGACTGAGGCTGAAACTAGAACCGTATGTTTGCGTTATGTACACAATGAAGAACCACTGCCAAATTATTAGTATTGTGGCAGGAGACTAGAAGGCTACAGTGAAAGTTGAATGACTATCTGTATTGTCCAGACCAGATGGGATTTTCTTCACAATAAATTTATTATTTACAATATTGCAAATAAAATTAATAAATATTGAACTACCAATGATATGAAAATCAAAATAAGAGAGAGCAAAGTAGATCTTGTAACAAACACTATTTAACTAGAAACAAATATCTAGGATTTGTTGGGGTGCCGAACGTAAAATTTTGCTAATGGGCATGTGGCAGGAAATGTTTTGTCTGTTACACATTTTACATTCGCTTCTTTGTTACTGACACTACCCTGATTGGCTGGAAACTCAACGTGCTCTGGTGATTGGTAGGTCATGTTTCCACGCTGCCAAAGATAATTCGTTTACTTATTTGCCAAACATCAATACATGGTGTGAAACTTCGATGTATGAAATTTTGTGCTATGTGCATTATCAAAAAGTGACATTTTTCGAACCTGCTAAGCGCTGTAGCAGTTTGTAACGTTTACTCGAAAACATCATGTATAAGAAATTCCCCATTGACTTCTAGAGGTTTTAACTTGACTTTTATCGGATTTAACTGAAAAGATGTCTTGATCACCAACTCGATAGCCAAAGTATGAATAATACACAAACTTCGTAATTTGCGATAAAACTTTGTCATCTTATTGTTTACACTTCGGGAAGAATATAGGCATAGTACGATGGGAATGTGCATGTACCTACGTACATAGACGCACGTTGATGAAGATTTTATGCTGGCTCAAGCGCCCTGAACAGGGCGCTCTACGTAACGGCGCTTGACTCGTTGCACACTGACGTACAATTATTAAGACGACTTCATTATGCATTATTCCCCTGCGATTGTGAAATTTCTCTCGGGAGAGACAGATACAGAGAGAGACAGAAGAAGACCGACGCAGACGAATACGACCATGTCTACGCAGGTCTCGAACCTGCAGCCTGCAGACGAAGGCTGCCGCAAGCTTCTGCGCAACGGGGTCAACTTTATTATTATCATTGTTATTATTATTGATAATAAATAATAATAATAACAATAACAATAATAATATAGAGTAATGAAGAGGGGTGAAAGGACTACGGTGATGGAAGTGGTGATGGTAGGTGGTGTTAGGTGGTGTTAGGTGGAGTAGTGGGTGGTGGGAGGTGTTTGTGGGATTTTAGAACCATCCCAGGATTCACCTTGTGTCCCAGGGGAAACCACGAAAAACCCGGTCAGGATGTCCGGCCTGGGGATATATCCGGACCTCCCGATTGCGAATCCAGCGCGCTACGCACTGAGCCACTTTGCTCGGTTATTATTATTATTATTATTATTATTATTATTATTATTATTATTATTATTATTATTAAGAAGAGCGAGGCGCGGTGAGTGTCCAAAATACAGGAAACCGCCCTTAGCGCACCCGCGGTGCCACGTCGATCGCCGAGGCGGCCCCGCTGTGAGGCGTGGTTCAGATGGAAGAGGAATGAGGGCACTTCCTGCACGACAGTGGGACGCGCAGGTTAGCGCAGGATCTCGCCATTCATCGGGGAAAAACACCATCACTTGTCGCGATTAAGCACGCAGTACACTTACGGAACTAATGACCATAGCGGATGTGCCCCTGGAAACACCAATCAATCAATCAATCAATCCGCCCAGATGACTATGGGCTGGCAGTTAATTGGTTAGCGACACGAGGCCAAGTTGCGAAGCCAGAATCAAATGAAGAGCTCTTAAGAAAAGACCGTGACTTGGCGGGGAGGGACCCCTCCCGATGGTAGGGGTCGGCGGGGCGCGGTCAGACAAAATGCAACTATCGTGCGTTAATAGTATGTAAAAACCTTTACAGAAATAGCTGAGATAATGTTGTTCCACGTTGTGTTGACTCATACGGAATGCGTATTGAATGAAGTAGTTTCCACATATGCTGTTTTGTTTGACCTTTGTTTTCTAATCGGCGTTCCTTGTTTATTTGCTAAGCTGACCGGGAACTAGCTGTTGTCTCAGTGTGACTCATCTTGGTTCCTAACGTTCGTAAATATTGTAGAGAAAAATGCTAATATGACTCTCTGGTCCCTAGGATGTAAGTAGGCTATACCACTTGGAAATGTGACGAATGACGAATAGTTTTTTTTCGATTGACTTTAATGGACTAATTGTCCTTGTTGCAAAACAAAACTATGATGCATACATTAACAACGAACCGCATCTCTGGCGCGATATTTGGTACTCTTTCAAATTCCCATTTGTGCAATCTCCAAGCTGTCCGGTCCTCGGCCCACCGCTTTTTGTGGGTTCCAGTACCTCTCATCTCCGTTGATATTGTGTATCGGTAGTTCCTTCCTATGGCCTATTTACCTCTTTTCTAACTGCGCTGTGTATGTCATCACAATTCGTCATTGGCAATGACCAGATTTTCATAAGTGCTTCAATAATTCTTTTAGACGGACATTATGTAGAATAATAAGTAAGGTATAAAAGTTTAATTAAGTAGAATTGTCACCAGAGCATGATCTCTACGAAATTCAAAATACAATAACACAGCTAAAAATCTTCTATTTATGTTCTTCGTACTTTCTGGCATAGAAAGTACAGAGACAGTTTTGTAATGTAAAAAATCAACGTCGATATTTTGAGGAATGGAAATGCACGTTCGATGATACCTGACGTTAAAAAGTGTTGTCTTTTTGAACAACAAAACAAAGAGCTTGCTCTGGCCGTCTGCACTTGAACAACACTAGCACCTACACTGTTCCCAGCATTTTACACAAAATGTATTCATTTGGGTTTCCGATCGATCTGCCAGGACTGGTGGCCCTGCGAATTTGAACAGTAAATTTTAGTTTTTGGTGTGTACTGTAAAGCTCGGAATTTTCAAGATATTCCCAAAATTTGCTCAAAGTTTTTGGTTCACTTTTTTGCAAGAGAAAAGTGCAATGTAGTGTAAATCTGACTTTCATTATAGCCTCTAAAATTTAGAAAATTGTCGAGTTCAACTTTTTTCAAATCATACTACTCTTAAAGAATACTACTAGACCTTTAAAGAATTTCACATGATTCTTTGTAGTGTTTACATTTCGCTTATGAGGAATTTGTGTGATGTGCTAATGTATGTAGTCTTATATTCCTCTCTGTTCTGCCGCAGGTGAAGACGTCGCTGGAGAACCCCACGCTGTACCACGTCATCCAGAAGCAGAGGAACCAAGTGCGGCAGTACCTGTGCGAGACGCGCCAGCCCGGCGGGTCCGCGGGCTCGGGCGGGGGCGGCGGCGGTGGCGGGGGCGGCTCTGGGGCAGGGGCGGCGCTGGGCGCGCGCCTCAGCGAGCTGCAGTCGGAGCTGGGGCAGGCTCAGAGCGCCCCGCCCACCATGCTGCGGCGCGCCCCCTCGTCCGCCTCCGCCACCGCCCCCAGCCCCGACGCCGCCATGTCGCCGTCCCTCAGCTCCGTCACCACGAGCGCCTCCGAGGTGAGTAGCTGACGCAGCGGCGCTGCGGGAGCCGGCAGCGCGTGGCGGCGCGTGGCGTCGGCCGGGTGTCGTCTGGGGATGTGTTCTCGTCAACAAAACATCGACACGAAACTATAGATGTTTTGTAAACTTTTTTTAAAGCCGATTTAGTAACTAACCTCTAACTAATCTGTTCCATCTTATTTTTACGCTCGACTATTTTGATCCGCAAAACGTTTAATTTATTGAGAACTCTAATTATTCTATTTTTGTTATTGTGGTAATTTTTTTTCAAATTAAAAAATAAAATATCGAGCACAAAATACGTCTATTTAAAAAAACATTCGCTTCAATACATAGCGTGTAAACATATCGATGTTTTGCAAATCGACACCGATGTCTCATTCCTAGACTGAACAGTGTTCTTTTTGTTTGTTTGTTTGTTTTTTTATAGATAAATGTGCAGAAAAATGTGCTTGATTTAGATTAAAAGTTATCAAAATGGTGTAAAAAAGTTATCTAAAACTACCTTCGAATTTCCGAACAACAATGCGTGTAATTATGTGGATAATACGAGAATACGCATGTTTGACTTATTCTTTTACGGTAGATTAGAATTTCAATCATTTTTATCATTTGTCCTCATGATTTTAAAAATTTATTTTACTCGATTTACAAACCAAACATGGATCATGAAATCAGTTGAACTCTTTATCAATTATTTGGAATCAATTTTCATCATTTTGATCAGAATTGACAGTCTCAGGTGCTTTGAGCTTCTGCAAGTCTAACACTGGTCGACGTTTATCGTCGCTTTCGTCTCGAGGTACGTTGCAGTAAACTCTTTTAGGTCCTCGCGGATGTCATCCTCCGCACATCACTACGCATGAGCGGTGCTGACAGCAAAACTAATTGACACAACTTGGGCCGGCGTCGTAAAATTACTCCTGTCCGCCTTCCCACCGACTGCATGTGGGAAGGAATCTATTGCGTACGTACATGGTTTCGAATATCAGGCTACAGATTCTGTTGTATGATCTGTTTAAATATGACCTCAAAGTTCACGGAAACGTCAGCAAAAACAGTACGACGAGACAAACAGTTCCGCAAATAATTTTGTAATGACAAAAATGCATCTGAATCGAATTGTCATTTTGCCCGGCCACCAGTCGCGGAAGATAAACGAGAAGAATTAAGCACTAACATGGAAACTAGGACTAACAAAATCTATATTTTAATATTTTAAAGAGAATTAAACTACTAATGGCCACGCGATATCAGCAAAATCAGTAAATACAAAGAGAATCTCAAACAGAATACAATTAAAATAACTCCCTCCATCGTTCTAGTGTTAAAAATTCGCATGAAAATAGTACGAAAGGGGGGGGCGGAATTGAACCAAAACTGGAGAAGGGTCTCAAAAAGGAAAAAAAAAGGTGTTGTAAAGCTACTTCTAATAGACGGTAACATTTAAACCGCTATATTTTCTAAAACCTCTTAACTCTGTCTACAAGAATAACGAAATGCACCACATTACCCTGCTGATCATCTCTTCGGACCCTCGAGCATTGTCGGTAATGTTCCTTCGCTCACCCAAAATGCGGGTTCTGTAAGCGTAAACTTTTGACCGGGCTAGTGTGGGCATTAACAAGCACGATAACGGAGATTGCCTGTCGATGTACCCCATTTTGGATCATTTCCGAAATAATCTATGCGAATCATTTCCGAAATAAAGTCAATGCGTCTTTCCGTACAATTTCATAACTCTTGATGAAACTCTAGCATATATTGGAAAGATTGTAGTCAGAATTTACTTTAGGCGGGGTACGTCGTGTATCTCACGAGCAGGATCTGGGACGGGGAAATTCGCAAATACTCTTTCATGGCGTTTTAAGTAAATAAAAATAGATGTGGATCAATGCCGCTAGGTTTTCCCCTCCCGAGATGGCTTTTTACTTGCGCGCCTTTCTTTCACGGCAATGTTGTGCTATTGGTTTACAATTCTTTACTTTCTTTCATACGAAAGAAATAAAACCCAAGCATTAATTCTTCGTTGCAAGATGCGGAAGGAATTTGAAATGATTTCGAAGCGATTTGATTTCGCGAAAAATGTATGTGCTTTACAGAACCCAACTTCTAATAAACGTCGCGTCTTGGAATTATTTGAATTATTAAAACTGTACTTTTTGATACATTTTATTAAAGGAAGAAATTATCATTAATTCAGTTTATGGGTTACACAACTTGTTGTCATGCATCAATTGAATTTATCGTTTTTTTTTTCTTGATGAGTATTCTGAGAAGAGCTTCTTAAGTTAAAATCTAGAATACGTTGAAACAGATCCCATTTCAGAAACTACATGTTTTTACAAGAGTCTCTCAGTAAAATTTCCAAAGGAATTGTGAAATCAAAAGACATAGGAAGTAAACGCTACAAATAAAAACCTGGGGATATAATGCTGACAGACAAAAGCAAGGAGCAGAAACTGGAGGAGACAGTATTTAGGAGGTGAATGCCCGTATTTATGCCGTAAATCGAGGAGTATATTATAATTTGATGACATAACAATTAATGTTTTTGTTTTTTAAAGGTGCACATGTTCGAAGCTGCAAAAGGTGAATACGTCTGGCGATAACTCCAACAATTAGTTTTCATTAGCTAGAGCGGAGGAGTGCTGGAGTGTTCCGTAGTAGTAGTAATGTTTAGTGATAATGAAGAGCGGGGGAAGGAGGAAGTGTGGTGGCTCTGAACCGGCACCTGAAAGAGACACGAAGATCAGAAATGATTTTTGGTCGGGTCCAACAGAAACTACATCTCTGTTCGTTAAACGCAATGATTTTTCACCCAACCAGAGGAAATCAATAGATAGTTGTAACAATAAGATTTAAGTGATGGACATGTTGACAAAAGCGCGAAAATTAGATTTTTAAAATCTTGACTCGTTACAAGTATTTGAATGTTTTATTCTCGAATCTTATAAATATTCGAATATCTCAGGCGTTTGCCAAGAGAACTAGCTCATTCTATTTGCAAATATTTTCCAAGATAGATAAAAATCTTCCCGCGTCCACAAAAGTTTTGAATGGAATATGATCCTGTCACATTTTAGGTAGGAGAAACTGGATTTGAACTACATCCCTTCGTAAGGTGATGAAGAAACACAGAAATTTGCATCAACCCAAAAAAGTGAATTTTGGTAAACAGAGGAATAAACTACTTAGCAAACGTCTCATCCCATCCCATCCCTAGAACATGCTAAATCGACCGTTACAATTTCTATCGCATCTATTGCCTTCATTGCTATCGTCTACTCCCCTAGTTTCCTTGTCCGTACGGTTCTGTTCTGGAGTCCTACGCATCGTGATATCTCGGCCTCTGCCACCACTTGTTTCTGACAGTCTCAAAGAACGTGCCAGGAAGCTCACTGTTTGTGCTCACTCTTATGACAAAGAAATGCGCTTAATTAGTGTTGCTTGTTAAATACACGATGGAGGAAATTGATGGAGGAATTGAGGTGACGTGTAGAGTTGAGTTTTATAGACACGTTTGCCACGATTCAGTTACTTGAAATGTTATTTCCATCGTTTACAAATTTTAAAACGTATAATGGAAAAAGTCACATCATGAATGTGTAGGAAGCGAAAACACATCTTTGCGTATTAGGTATTTAGATTTATATATTGTTTAAATTTTTAGTTGAATTTTCTTTATTTTAGTTTTCTTTCTTCATTGTCTTTAGGGAGAGATCAGCTCAACATTTTCTTTTCTCACTTAAGAACTGGTGTTAAACTGGGGCATTTCTAATCGAGTCTTGTACGTTGCGTTACAGCTTACATCTATTTACTCATTTCATAAGGGGCCAGAAATTGAGAGATAACTGAGCAGCTTATGGCCGTGTGAGAAGTGATACGGGTTTCGTGAAATACCCAGAATCTCAGGGGAAAAAATTAATGCACTAAAAATTTGATTCTGTCTATTTTCAAGATAGGCGAATAGAGATGTATGCCATACTCAGTTAGTCTGAATTAATTCAAGTCGTGTTAACAATTCTGGCTTTTCTTCCCGATCGTGTTGTGTGTGTGTGTGTGTGTGTGTGTGTGTGTTTTATCCTGGCAAGTGGCGGTGTACCTTCCCCTTTGTAAAGTGATATTCGGCGCTGACCTAAACGTCGACGTGTGGGGACTTCCTCTTCACGTATCTCCTCCAGCGGAGCACTGCCCCAGCCGGATCAAAGTCATCGCTCCCCACTAGTCTCCCGATGTGTGGTAGGGCAGTGCATGTACGTGTGAGTGGTGACAAGTAGGAGGAAGGAAATATCGCTTGCGCTTCGTGATCCGCTGATTAGGGTACCGCTCCGGCATTTGTCTGTTATTTATCGGAGAAACCACAGAAAACTACCATCAAAGCAGTCGACTACTAGGTTCTCCTCCTGACGGTGATTGAATTCGATCTACCTAGTGTGTAGTTAGTGTCAAAAATCCATCATCGTTGGACTGAAAGAATATCCCAGTGAACGATTCGCCAGAGTAACCGGACCACTATCCAAAGGGTCGATGGTTTGCATCGCCTCGTTCCCTTCGATACTTATTAGGGGCCTCCGTGACACGAAGGGTCTTGCATTTTGCTGATACCACCATCATGGAGCTCGCAAAAGTTAATTCCTCTTCCTAAGAACATGTATTAAGAGTGTTCAAGATAAGAAACCTAAGCTGAAAAAGACCTATGATAAGAAGATTACCACGACGTTTCCGATGTTTTTTCGCGTTTGTACGAAAGTTTGTCTTCAAACAATCTGAAAAGGGCGTTAAATTATAGTATAATTATGATTACCAAAAAGAATATAAAAGCATTGGATGGTAGATATTGTTAGAAATTGAACTACTCTAACTGGAGGAAATGCGGAAAATCACTAAAAGATGGAAATTAATTTCGGCCTTGCAAAAGTGACCAGATTCTTCGACGAGCACATTATTGAGATGTCTCTAAAATAACACAATCGCAAATGAAACAATCGCCTTCTCCAGATGCTTGCTTAAATTTTTATACAATGCCCGTTTCTCCAAATTTTCCTTGAAAAGTTCTCGAACCAGTTTTGCAACTAAAAGCAAATATTTCGGTGGTTTACATATATTTCTCGAGTGTTTGTTAAAACTTAAGCTATCGTCGTTAAAGCGTAAGCTTATCGTTGTACAACTATTGACGCCCATATTCAATGTTTCCGTATGCAACGGAATATTTTCAGACTCTGAACCACTCTCAGCTAAACAGCTTTACTATCAAGAACAGAAAAACAGTTCGAAATTATCATCCATCTAGTTAGTGCTTTAGGGAATATTAATGGGAGACGATATGGAAGCTATTTCTCTTAAACTAAAAAGACGGAAAAACGATTTTTTTGTGCCCTGTCGTAGTGTATACAAAGTGCAAGTGTGCTGAACGTTCCCTGTTTGATCTTTGAACTTCGAATGGGCATATGAAGGTTTCGTAAAGGACTGTAATTTTCCTTCGTATCGCACCCTCTCGGCCACTGTACAATTTCAGAGGGGTCGAAACGGCCTTGTACCTACCGTATTTTACGGACTATAAGACACTTCGTAATGTTGAAGCAGTTTTATTTTAAAAAATAACATTTTTTATTATTAGATTGCAAAACCAGACTAAAAAAATATTATATAATAAAACCGAACTGTCCTTAAAAATCCCTGGAAATCGGCATCGAAACTAGGTACTAACAATACTATTGTACTACTACCGAAATACAAACGCACGTTCACTGGCACCGTAGGTTGCTATGACACATCATATGCTAGGCAGTGTTCTGGTTTTGTGATGGCTGGGCGGAAGGGGACAGTGTTAGCAAGCTAGTCAATCCCAGTCAATAATGTTCGTCCTATCAGTGTACTGCTGCCAGTTGAATCCAATGTTGCCAAATAGAGAAAAGTTTCCAGTGGAGTCGAATACATGACCATTTTTCAGACTGGCGGGAATTTTAAAACAAACATTGGACTTTAATGTATTAATTTCAAGTATAAGACGCAACTGAAGTTTGGAGGTAATTTTTCGAAAAAGAAGTGCATCTTATAGTTCGTAAAATACTGTAAACCCCACACTAGGTTCTGACATTCCCGTTTGAATGCAATCAGGCGTGCGCAGCCTAAAATATGAGAGGCGAAGCAACCACATTTCTAAGAGCCTTTTCCATTAAACTTTAACTGTGTATTACTATATTTAATATGTGAATACATTTATGTATGACAGTATTTTACTAGAAATAAACGCATCAAATCTCAGGTTAGAAAAGAAGGGAATCAAGGGTTTGACACATTTAAGAAAAAGTATTATATTACGTAAGGCAACGGTTCCCTTTTTAATTTTTTGAACAAAATTCTTTAAATTTAGTATTTAAATACTTGGCGAAAATACTTTGGAAATAAGTATTTAAATATATGCTCAAATATATAGCTTGTTTTTTTTATGCAGAATGGTTTCTATTACACAAAGCGAATATTTCTAGTTATCACATTTTCTCCACGATGCTTTCTGTTATCCTTTATACAAAATTCAACTAATGTTGGTAAAGGAGGATGGGTAGGTAACACAGGGCTCAAGAAAACGCGCACGTGTAATACTCCTACCTTTTACTCTCCTCAACATATTAAGATCTTTTCGGTTAAAATACCAGTTCGTAAGTGTGATGTGAAATATAAAAACGTAATTAACTGCAATGCAGTAAACATACTCCACACTTTTGAAATTTCTCAGGACTTTGAATATGTTGTTATCTTTCACGAAGGAAGAGTACCAAGGGTATACCTTGTACGAAAATAAGTATACAAAGGTCTAAACCGTAAGAATGAGATTGAGCAGTCTGGGCACGTGTGGTGACTTCTCGACTCCTAGAAGTATATTGTGTTGTGTGATGACTGCGCTTTGAAAATGTTCAGGCAAATTCGCTGTTGTATTTTGAAGAACATATTTCCTGACTAACTTTCTATTCTGTATAGTCCACGTTACATTACTGTGCACGCATAACACGTTGTAGGGCCATGGCCGTTACACAGAAGGTTCGACCTTGAATGCTCTAACGAGGTCGGGATAGCGTGTGTAATTTATTTCCCCTCGTATAACGACCCTATCATCATAAACAAAAAAGTAGGATATATTTACTGTTTGTCTGGTCAACATTTGCGTAACGTTATTTTTTCGTGCATATAAGGCTTATAATACTACTACTACTAGTTTAATATTGTGATAAACGACACATTGAAAGTTTGTAAAGGTGATGTCTAATTTTCTGGTTTCGCATAATCCAAATCCTTCAGTTACTCTTGAAACTGAAATAGCTTTCATTATTTTTTGTCATATTTTCACATGATTTTTGGAATTGAAGAATTTATTCTTTTACTGGTAAGCAATATGATTCGCGAGGCATCAATATGAAAAAAAAAAAATGCTTTCGCTAATACGATCTTGAAATTCTGATTTCTGGAAGGTGGGAATGTACTCAATACTATGCAGTGACCCTTGATTTGTCACGTCATTTACAGATGCCCTTAATAATTTTGACATCTGATTCATACGACGAAAAAATTTAAAGAAAAAAGTGAACATATTTTTTTTTAATTTCCTCTATTA